AATTTATAATAAACAAATAAAAATGGTAAATAACGTAAAATATTTAGGTATAACAATTCAGGAAAAATTAAAACTTAATATGCATATTGACAAAATTTCTAGTAAAATAAAACAACTATTTCAGAAATATATTTGGACTTGTAAAGATAATTGGAGATTAAATAAGAAGACTTTAATAACTATTTATAGGGGTGCTTTGGAGCCAGCATTATTATATGGAGCTGTGATATGGGCGAATAGAATAAAAATTTTCAAGAAAAAAAAATTATAAGTATTCAATCTTACATTCTAAGAAGAATTTTTAACATGTATGATAGGACTGCAACAAATTCAGTAACAGTTATTTCCAGAATAATGCCTATTACATTAAAAATAAATGTAAAGATTCAAAATTATAATTTAAGAAAAGATAAAAATATTACTTTGGGAGAAAACGTAGTAAATTATAATACATATATAAGAAATAAAACAAAAATTGATTGTGGACATCCGGCAAAAGCACATAAAAATTTAGAAAACTTTGAAGACGAAGAAGAAAAATTAACAAGAGTAGAAATTAAAAAACAAATCAAAAATTATTATTTAAATAAATGGCAAGAGGACTGGGATGAATTGGACAAGGGGAGGGAAACATATCAATACATACCAAACATCACAAATAGATTAAAATGGAAATTTTGGAATATCAATAGAGGAATTATACAAATTATAACAAATAGAGGACTTTTCAATTCTTTTTCTTATAAAATTAAAAAAAGCGAAACAAATATGTGTACATGTGAAAATGGAGTAGAAAGTGCTGAACATTTGTTATATGAATGTGAAGAATTTAAAATTGAAAGAGAAGACTTTAAAAATTTATTGGAATTAAAAGGAATTATCATTTGGCCTGTTAACAAAATTCAATGTCTACAAGAAAAAAATATCAGAAGCATTTTCGGAAATTTTTGCAGCAAAATTCAAAAAAGAAAACTAAGTAAAATTTTAAACAAGACAATTAAATAAATTTACAGAGACCTCCAAGTGGTTAGGGACGGCAACGAAGTCTAGGTAACCCTTTTTAGGGCAATAAAAATCCTAGATACGGCCAACTCCTGTAAAAATAAAAATAAAAAAGTTATACAAAAATTAAGGTAAGACTTATTATAGATAATAGGGGATATGCTGGAAGGCATGAGTACCTTTAAAACTAACACAAAGAACTCCTCTTCTGACTGATTCTCCTCGCTCATTAACAGTCAAAATCTTTTTTAGCTGAAGCTACTTTTCGAGGTAACAGTCAGGTCTCTATGATCGGCAATACTCATTCTTCAAGCTCAACTTTGAAATGTTGAATCTGTTATCAACCGGTGCAACTCTCGCCTAATAAATTGTCCGATGCCACAGAACGTGCATTGTTTTAGTTGTGACCGGCCTGCAGTGACTATGCCTAAGTGCCCGAAATGCAACACGAACCAGGGAAACTGAGGGTTGAGTCTTCTATCCTAAGAAATTACTCACCAATTTTAAAAATTTAATATAAGTAAACAATCGACACAAACATCAATCTTGTGCAGTCAACAATCGATCTCACATATTAGAAATCGTAGGTAACTAAACTACTACAATTCATCGACAGGGTAATTATTAAGATTTTCGTTTACTTTAGATATGGCATTCTCCAGCACCTTCATGGCGTCTTCCACCCCATCCAGCATCGTTTCCAAGCTTGATCTGGACAAACTTTCCTCGTTTCTGTCATAGCAGCTGATACCTTCGACGTTTTCACTAGAAAATACCCCACTGTCTTTGTCGGGTAGGTATTTAATGTTTTTATTCCTAAATACCTTCAGCATCTCTGTTAGTTTTCCGCACGGCAACACACTATTAGGCAAATTGATTTCATTAAGTGAGCTGAGGTAGTACACGAGAAGGTTGTGGTTGAGACTGTTGAAACTATTTCCTTCCAAATTTAGTCTTGTAAGTCCGCCTAGTGGGTAAAACACGATCACTTTTAATTTAGCAATTTTGTTGTTAGATAAGTCGAGGTACTCCAAGGCAGACAAGTGGGAGAATGTCCCGATACGAAAGCTTGATAGGTTGTTGTCGGTCAAAATTAAACGCCGTAGTCCACTTAATCCAGAAAACGACTGCAGATCCAGAACGCTGATGTTGTTGTACCCCAAATTTAAGATATATAAAGAGTCCAGTGCAAGAAACGCGTTCGGCGCAATCTCCTCGAGATCGTTATACGCAATGCTTAAAGTACGCAAGCCGTGGACACCCCTAAAGGTATTTTTGTTCAAAATTCTAATTTTGTTAAAATCCAACTCAATGGCACAATAGTCATAGTCGTTCGTCCACTCTGGGTACATCCAAAGCTCTTGGAAACTGCCAGGTACAATGGTATCAATCAAATTGTACGCAATTTTAATTTTGAAGACATTTCGAAGTCCCGAAAATGCTCCGGATTGGAGAGTTGACAGTTTGTTGTGCTCTAGACTGAGCACTCCCAATTCTAGAAATTTTAACTGGTCAAACGCGTTAGGTTCCAACTCGGAAATTTCGTTAAAGCTTAAATCCAATCGCAAAAACGTATTTACGGGGAATGTTTCCGTGTGCACGACCCTTAGTAGATTGTGACTCAAAATTAAAGTCGCCTCAAGTTGTAACTCGCTAAATGCTCCGGAGTTGATACTTTTCAAGGATAACCCCGACAAATTGATCATATTACTCCAATGCGGGAGACGTGAAAATGCGCCGGTTTCGATACTTTCAACCAAAGATCCATTAAAATCAATGAAATTTAAACTCGGCAGATCGGAGAAGGCACCGTGCTCAATCTGCCTTAGTTTGCTGTTGCGCAAGCTGACGAATTGTAGTTGGCCAAGGTCTCGAACGCAATCAGAGGGAATCACGCTAAAATTGTTGTTGCTTAAATCTAAGGTGTTCAGATATGGCATTGAGTTAAATGTGTTTGGTTCCATATTCTCAACTGACAGTCCAGAAAGGTTCAAGTCTCTCAGAGAATAGAGATTTTGAAACGCACTGCTTCCGATGTTCTTGATGCGGGCGCCTTGTAGGTCTATGAAATTTAAACTGCCAAGGTTGGAAAACGCCTTGGCTTCAATAAGTTCCAGTTGATTGTAGTGTAAGCCTATCGTTTGAAGTATCGGAAGGTCTGCAAAGGTATTCGTTCTTAGTACGGTGAATTTATTGTCACCCAAATGCAAGGAGACTAGCGACTGTAGGTTTTTAAATGTTCCTCCTTCGATTTCGCCGATTTCCGCATTGGAGAGGTTTAGCTCCCTGAGCGAGTTTAATGGAGAAAACGTTCCATTGCGCAAGATGTCAATTGCGTTGCCGGACAAGTCCAAGTAGTCCACCGTAGTTAAAAACGAGAAAGCGCCGTGGCTGATACTTTTAATCCTGGACCTGTTCAGGAAGAGCTGTTGAAGTTGATTTAAGCCTTGAAATGCGGATGTTTTCAGTTCCATAATATTGTTCATGGACAGATCGAGAAAGACAAGGCTTTCCAAGCCGTCGAAGCTTCCAGACGAAATGTATTTGACGGTGTTATTGTTGAGATATAACCGTTGAAGGTTTATTAGACCAGCAAAGCTCTTCGGCTCTAAACCTGTAAGGTCATTATCGCTCAAATCTAAAATTCGCAATGCCTCCAAAGTTTGAAAGGCTTCCGGTTCTACGCGGGCGATCCGTGAACAATTCAGCACCAAACTCTCTAACTGACGCAATCCAGTAAAGGTCCGTCGCTTTAAGTTTCTGATCTGATTCTGTGACAAATCTAAATGGTTCAAACTGTGCAAATCGATGAATGAGCCAAACTTTATCTCGGTAAGCGAACTGTTGCGCACCAATAAGATACGTAAGCTGTTCAGATAAGTGAAGCAGTTCTCTCTGATTTCAGATATATTATTATTGCTCAAATCCAAGGTTTCCAGATGAGTCAACTTCGAGAAGTCATCTATCTCGATCTGCTGAGTATTGGTGTAAGATAAATTCAAATCACGAATGTTCTTCAAGCTGCCCAAAATCGACCGGAATGACTCAAAGTTGGTACCGGCCAAAGTGAGGGATTGCACACTTGGTGCACCAAAATGCATTTCCTCTTTCACGTTTCTAATAGGATTAAATTCCAGATTTATGTGAACAAAGATCCTAAAGACGTTTGAAGGTAACGCGGTTAATCCATTATGACTCAGGTTTAACATTTTCGACCCCTCTGCCTGAAGCAGAAAACCATTTTCTTGGAACTGATCCACACTTATTTCTTGGATTTGGTTATGGGACAGGTCCACAAGCATGAGATTGCGCAATCCCGCGAATCCAGTCAAGTCTAAAGTGCGTATGTGGTTGTACTCAAGGAGGAGGTACCTTAGAGAGGAGAGCTTACTGAATATGTTGCTGTGTAAGCTTTGCAAATCGTTACTACTCAAATCAAGCGTATGCAATTCTGTCAGTACATCGAAGGGCGTATCGATCTTCTGTATACTGCAATTCTTGAGGTAAAGGCGTTTTAATCTACTGAGACCTGTAAATGAGTTTGTCTGCAACGTCACTATCGGATTGAAACTTATGTTCAACACGTTTAGATTGTTTGAATTTTTAAATCTGCTCCCAAGCCAATCAACATCGCCCTTAATACGGTTGTAAGATAGATCCAACTCTTCAAGATTATATGAATCTATGTCAAACTTTTCAATGTAATTGTTCGTTGCTGATAAGGCTTGCAGTTCATTCATAGAAAAGTCTGGTATGTAAAAGATAGTTAAATTATTAAAATTTAAGTTCAAGTACTGCAATGGTAAGTCCTTTAGAAATCCAATGGTTGCGATTTGGTTGTTTTCCAAATCCAGTTTACGGAGGTTTCCCAAATTGCGAAATGCGCTATAGTCAATCGCAGCTAGGTGTAAAGATTTGAGCGAAAGATCATACAAAGAATTGTGTTCTTCAAATGCATTTCCTTCCAATGCTGTAATAGTTGTGTTTTCAATCCGTAGGTACTGGAAACCGCTATTAGATGCTACGTCTTGAAGACTCGTACAAGAAACTTGGTCACCGTAGTAGTCTCGTACGCATATCTGTGTTGATTGTAGAACTAATTTGAATAATACGGTGAGTAACAAGATGATTCCTGTTTCGTCCATGTCTCCTAGAACAATAATTACATTTAGTATGCTTAAATTATGTAGAAGAAAGATCCCCATAGCTCTTACAGCTGTAGGTGTGAACTGTAACGATGGGAAATTTAATGGGATTAATTCGTAATTTGACTCCTGTAGGAATCTGAAATTAATCTAAATTTCTATGAAGGGAGGGCGGTAGTTTCGGAGACGTCATATTTGTTGACATTCCCACCAGTAGGTATAATTACTATCACCATTACATTTAGTACGGTTAAAATGGTGTAACTTTCTACTGCACAATCTGTGGACTGTATAGAATAATTTGCAGTTGGAGGGAAACTTTTACTTTGGATGTTGAGGTTTGGGTCTAATTGCACTGTACTAATTTCCACTTCCTTCCATATATACGGAAACCGAACCAGAACATTCCTGTTCCTTGGTTAGAGTAGCGATTGTAGATCGCGCTCTGAGAATAATTTACCTGTCCCTCCGTTAAAGTAGAGGTGTCGGTTGTAATAGCGCGCTCTTCCCGGATACCTTCCGTGGATTAAGGGTGTCCGGCTGTATAACCGCGCTCTTAATTAAGTTTACCTGTTTTTTAAATTTCGGTAAACGCTGCGAATGTACGTTCGCGCTCGCCGATCACTCCTGCAATATACCCTGGGTAATGTTTTAGTTGGGTTATAACGTAAAAACTTACAAGAAGAAAAACTTACAAGAAATTATCTCTGAAACTACCTGCCGATTTTGATACTGGATACTAACAGGTTAAATTACAGAGATAAATAAAACATGAATAAAACTACAAGGTAAATCAAGGACCCCTTCTGTCAACGTTTCAAGTTGGGTCGCATTCAGCCATTATAATTTAGTTTCTGTGCAATTGTAAATATTTAGTTAAATTGTGTATATATTTTCTAATCATTATATTACTTATATTCTACCAAGCTTAGTTAATTAATTAGAGGTGACCTGGATCTCCGATATCGAGCTACGCAGAAGAGCTCCCTGTGTTCCTCAACGTAGGTAACCAAACATATACAGGTTATCTTCACGAGCAGAAGGGAGATTTTAGAGGTCCTTTAGTTACGAAGAGGCTCAGGGTAGCCTGTAACAGCTAGGACCGTTTACAATGTAACATGTGCTCGATATGTTTGTCTAGCAGTGTGAAAGGAGCAGACATTTCTGAAAAACTCCTAACCATTGTGCTCGTTAATGCAACCCATGATTTAAATTGATGTGAAATCGAAAAAAAAATTTAATTTCAGGTTCAAACCTTTTGAGCTCAGAAGGGCACCCTATGCCTTATCCATAACAGATAACAATACAAACAAAGAAACAATAGGGGTAGTGAATAGCGCGAAGCAAAATATTGCGGTTTAGCAATTGTCTGCGCAGTTTTAAAAAAGTACTTTTAGTTATCAGTGTGTGGTTGTCAAATCAGTTGTGAATTTTCTCATGATTAAATGCAAAAAAAGAATAAAGGAAGAGAAATTTCTTTAAAAATGCCATAAAGACTGGCGATTATTAAGAGCTTGTTTATGGATCGAATCAAAGAAGTTATAGGACTGAAACCACGTTGATTTTGAAACAGAAAGGCAGTTACACATTAATCTAATGCGTTGCTGGACAAATAAACGTCTAACACTAAGTAATCGTATACCAAAACCGTAATTAATACGGAATAAGGATGAATAATTCGAATGACTTTACACTAGCAAAAGCAAAATTTTGATTCGACCATGGATTGTCCGTACAAATCGGTGATATATTTTATATAAACTTTCCGAGTACCAAGAGTAGTCATCGATAAAATCGGGTCTCGGAAGGTAGTGTAAGTAAAAATCACAAATATCGGAGCGATTTGCAAGACTAATAATACTCTCCAATTAAAGGTTTCGTTAATGCTTGCAGTTAGACAGGAACACTATCGGAGCGTAGGTAAACAACTTCCATCTAAGTAGGTCACCGGGTGTAAATTTTTGAAGCAGGTAATGTAGAAACTCATCTGTCACGTGACGTCGATAATGCCGGTCTTGCTGAAATGACAAGGTAAAAATACAATGTCATTCACGTACTGCGTATGTAATAAGTAATATCCAGGTAGATCATAACGAATCAGTTATCCAGAAGAGAAAACTATAAGAAAATTTGAGGGAATTTTGACGTATTACGAAGAATCCTTAATCATAATTACACACCTCACACTTATTACTTCAATGGAGCAACCACAGGCACATCAGAAGTAGAAAAATATGGTAGTAGCCAAATCCATAAGACACTAAGTCAAGAAAAAAGTAATGGCATATCAGAAAAATAATTGCCTACAAACAATATGAAAGCAAAATCTTTACTGCGCGAGAGGAGTAAAACTCGTGTGCCACTTCGAATTAAAGAAGGGGTGGTATTAGAAATATGAAAAACATCTGCACGGCACTGTACCTGCAGCAAAAGTAAAAATACTAAGGTAAAAGAAACCTATAATACTCAAATGACCTCTAGCGGCGAAAATAAAGAACTAAGGTAATAACTCTACTATAGGAAGAACTTACATTTTCACTAAACGTGACATAATGTTGGGTCAGATGGAAGCTCTTTAGGTTAGAATAATTCCGGAGATAAGGGCGGACACTCCTGTATGTGTGAATGTTTTAATTTCCATTGGTTTATTTTATCGGAATTTGATATTTTGGTGTAACGAAAAGGCAGGAGTGCGCGTTCATTTCGGCGTAACTGGGGTCACGAGTTCTGTTTCGTTGATTGAAGACCAGTGGAAGTAGAGGGGAGCAAAATGAGAGTGATAACTACATACAACAGAGAAGGAATGAAAGGTGTTAAGAATAATATAGAAAACATTGTAGATGAAAGGTTGGAGGAGGGGCTAATATTGCGAGGAGGTTTAAATGCCGGAACAGGTAATAAAGGAAAATGGGTAGAGATGGGCAGAGTAACACAGGATAGAAAATCAAGAGATAGAGATTGAGATAAAAAGGGAGAAGTGTTACTGGAATTATCAGAAGAGGGTGGATGGAGAATTTTAAATGGAAATGTAGAGGGACATGCAATACACATACACGGAAACAAGAAATGGAGGTCCATAATTGATTACATACTAGTAAACGGAACAATACTGAAGGAAATAAAATAAACATATCACCAACCAATAGCTAAAAGGGGGACAGAAAGATCAAGAAATGGAAAGATACAAAGAGGAAGGTTATGGACAAGAGAAACTGTGGAGTCGAATAAAAAGAGACTAGAGGAACTAAAAAAATATGGGGGGGGGGATGCTTAGGAGTGTAAAAATAGGTAAATGAAGGGTGAAAAATGGTGGGACAGAGAGTGTAAGTACTTTTTTTTACTGATGTAGAGAGAAAGAAAAGGAGGAGGAGGAGTTGAGACAACATAAATAAAAAGCACAAAAGGAAACAGAAAGAATATGAAAAAATATGAAAAACGAATCAGGTAAATAAAAACAGATGACGATTGGAAGAGGACCAACAGAGGAAAAGGCAAAACATACCAAGCGAGAGAAATACAAATAGAAGACTGGAAGAAGCATATTAATAAGTTACTACAAGGAAATCAGGGGGAAGATTAGATAGGTAGAAAGCCGATATTTCAGAAGTATTTAAGGGTCAACTAACGAGACTGAAGAAAGGGAAAGCGACAGGAAGGGATGAAAAAAATGGGACTTGAATTATCGCCACAGATAGTATCAAGGAGAAGCTGAGGAACTAATAAAAAAGATGTTGAAAGGAGGGGGGCTGCCGGAAGAATGCGCGGAAAGGGTAATATTGCCGATAAAAAAAAAGATAATAAAGACTATATTGACAATTATATCAGGATAATGACGACTGCCTACAGAATACATGCGATGGTATTGAATAGAAGGTTAGAAAGAGAAATAGAGAACAAAATGTTGGAGGAAACACAAAATGGGTTTTAGAAAAAGTAAGGGAACGATCGAAAAGGGGGTTTTTAAATATGATGTACATATACGAAAGGGGTTAATTCTTTGATTAAAAATAACCATCCAAATTTGTACATACAGGAGAAAATATAGCCAGGGTCAAAGTGTAGGAATCGTAGTGGGAAGAAGGAAGATATGGTCCCTGGTATATACTGACGATACAGTAATAATGGCAACAGAGATAGGACAGATGAAAGAAATGATGGGAAGAATTTAGAGGCATTGAGAAAGAAAGGGAATGGAGTTAAATGATGAGAAATCGAATATTAGGGAGGATAGAACTAGAAAGGATACAAAGAAGGTATTACAAATGGATACTGAGTTTAAAAGGATGGACACCAAATTCCATATTAGAGGAGTAAATAAAAATTGAAATCAGAATAGCGTCTGGACGGGTAAAATTCGAGGAAGGGTGAAAGAGAAAGTGAAAGAATGTTTGGCAACAAGGATGAACACAAAACGAAGCAAAAAATATTTGTTGCAAATTCCGTCCGTTCGTCCGAGTGCTGCTAATTAACTGAAAAGTGCTCAGTTTTTTTAATATCCGAGCAGAGATTTATTTCTAGGGCAATCTTAGTGTTTGTCTCAGTATTAATTTTAATAACAAACGTCTCGGGTCAAATATCAAGGGTCAAACGATAATACACTTTGTATTATCGTAAACAAGCGAAAGCAGAACTTCTTTATCAGCCTCGCCGGAAAAATGTACTCTGATGACCCATCACAAATCATTATCATGACGTATACTATGTATTAGCGTGGGTCGATTTTTTTATTGCGTTATGCCTGTAGTTTTAAAAGTTGTCAAATGGTTTTAAAGTAACCGTAAATTTTTTATTTTTTTTTATCTCATCATTTAACCCCCCCGCCCGACCCTGAAAAAAATTAAAAATTAAAAGTCGTATATCGATAAAGCCTGGTGCGTTAAAGGACTTAGTTTGGTCCTAAATAATTCAAAAAAAAATATCATTCAGTTTAAACCATGTTTCACCCCCCCGCC